CTCCTGGAGTTTTCTCAAACTCATGTCCATGGAGTCGGTGATGCCATCCAACCATCTCATCCTCTGTTGTCCCCTTCTCCTCCCACCTTCAATCTTTCCCAGCATCAGGGTCTTTTCCAATGAGTCAGTTCTTTGCATCAGGTGACCAAAGTATTGGAGCTTTTCAGCATCAGTCCTTCCCATGAATATTCAGGGATGATTTCCCTTAGGGTTGACTGGTTGGATCTCCTTGCTGAGTGGGTGATAGAAGCACTAACCAAGCAAACAAGTACATGATTTCATGTAACGTGGACGCGAATCCCATGAAGAAGACTCAAGCGGAGCGGGGCCTGCCGTGGCCAGTGTGGGAGTCTGAGCAGGAAGGCGAGCGGAGCTCATGCAGAGAAGGCTGCCAGGGAAAGCCTGTCTGATCAGGCAGCTTTGGAAACGGGGACTGAACGAAGTGAGGGAGAACGTGTTGGGAACAGGTGCAGTTCAGTTCAGCTCAATCGCTCAGTTGTGTCTGACTCTTTGCAACCCCATGAATTGCAGCACACCAGGCCTCCCTGTCCATCACCAACTCCCGAAGTTTACCCAAACCCATGTCCATTGAGTGGGTGATGCCATCCAACCATCTTGTCCTCTGTCGTCCCCTTCTCCTCCTGCCCTCAATCTTTCCCAGCATCAGGGTCTTTTCAAATGAGTCAGCTCTTCGCATCAGGTGGCTAAAGTACTGGAGTTTCAGCTTCAGCATCAGTCCTTCCAATGAACACCCAGGGCTGATCTTCTTTAGGATGGACTGGTTGGATCTTTTGCAGTCCAAGGGATTCTCAAAAGTCTTCTCCAACACCACAGCTCAAAAGCATCAATTCTTCGGCGCTCAGCTTTCTTTATAGTCCAACTCTCACATCTATACATGACTACTGGGACAGAGCAATCTAGGCATGGAGAATGGGAGTGCAAAGCCCCTGTGGCGTGAACAAACTTAGACAGGCCAAGAACAACCAGGAGACCAGTGTGTCTGGACCAGAGTGAGTGAGGGAGAATTGTAGGAGATGCCGGCTGAGAGGCAGTCAGGCATTGTAACATGCATGGGGGATTTGGCTGCCGGGTGGGACTCTATCACATCTAGGCTTCAAGTTTTAAGCAGGGAGGTGACAAGAACTGATGTCTACTTTTGAAAGATCACCAGACTGGAGGACAGCAGGGAAGGGGGACAGTATGGAGACGGGAGGAGCTAGCTCAGCATCAGGGGCACCAGCTGATGGGACAAGACTGGGGTGGCAGTGAGGGGCCCATGAGAGTCGATTCGTTATTCTGATTAGCACTGACTGGACCTGTGGATGGGTTAGACGCAGGATGCGAGGGAGAGAGAGGAGGCAGGTTGGCTCCAGGGGGGTGAGGTAAGCAGCCAGGGGTGATGTCTACTTAGAAGCAGAAGCTTGAAGGCAAGTGGGTTTTAGGAACTTGATCTGCTCTGAGATGCGGCTGGACTCCTCCAAGAGGGGAGCTGGATGTAAGAGGCTGGGGCCAGAGTCAAGGGACAGGTCTGGAGATGGACGTCTGGGAGGTGTCAGCGTGTGGGGACTCTGTCCATAACCTCAGACTGGCTGAGACCCCCTCAGGAGTGGGTGGGGAAGAGCCCTGGGTACTCTGACACTGATGGATTTGGAAGAGGAGATAAATCCCAGGAGGGAACCTCAGAGGTGTGGCCGGGGAAAAAGGAGGGAAACCAAGAGTGTGGAGTTCTAGAAGCCAGTGCTTGAGATGGGAGGGAGAAAGCAGCTTTGAGAACGACTGCTCGGAAGGTGAGGGAAACGAGGCCTGAGATCGCCCACTTTGGCGGCTGGTTACCACTGTACATGAGGAATTTTCTCTTTGGCAGCCGGAGAGCAAGGACTCCCAGCTCCTTGTTCCAGCCACAGACCGGCCGGCAGCAATAATGACCTTGCTTCTCACCCAGGCGTCTGGCTGAGGATCCCAAGAAAGTGCTGGCTAGTGACCTGGCACTGCCCTCCCAGATCCCACCAGGCACAGAGCCCCTCCTGGCCAGCAAGAGCTGAGACACACACGCTGCAGTTTGCCAGAGGCCCCGGCCTGCAGCGTCCGCCTCCTGCAGGCCTGCTCACCCCGCCGCCTGAGATGACGGGCCTACACCGGGGAAGGGGTAGATCGCTGGAAGGGGTTCAAGAACCTGAGGGGAGTCCTTGTCCACTCAAAGGTGGCAGAAGGCACATTCTGTACTGCAAGCTCTGATCTTGGTCATCAGAAATTAACTCCTCCTTCCAACTGCTTTCCTCTCCTTCCGGCTCCTCCAGGACCAAATTCAACCATCCGCTATCACGCCTCCTGCCCCACCGAAAGAAGCCCATCTCCCTTCTCAGGGGTCTTTTGCAGTTCCCAGTGCCTCTGTGTCTGCCAGCCCTTTTCCCTTCTTCCTCATCCCGTTTACTCCCATCACCTTCTATAGGAGATAACAGGGAAGGAGCAACAGGAGTCAGAGATGCTGATGGGGTCATGATGATGAATAACCATATCCTTTACTGAGCATCTCTCCATGCCTGGCCTCTCCAGACTTGTTGTCTAGATTTCCCTGCAGCCACCGAGGCAGGTGCTCTCAAGCGGCAGCGGCTGCTCCTGACATCTGCAGGAAAACAGCAAAACCCACTATTTGTTAAGCATTTTTAACGTGTCAGGATTGGGATAAGCACCTTCTGCTCACTCTTTTTCCAGCCTAACGTCAATGGTAGGAGACAAAGACTCTTGCAACATCCACTTTGCAGGTGAGAAAAGGCTGTGTTGTTAAGGGAAAGAGTAAGCTGTGGACCAGCGTTCAACACTGGATTGGAGGGGGCAGGGGGCCACAGGGGCAGAGAGACTCCAGAAATGCCTGCTAACCATTGTTGCCACCCTGAGAAATGCAGGGGCAAGGGCGCATTGGACATTGGGTGAGGGAGCAGGTAAATAACACGACCTGCTTCCCTGTAAGTTCTTACCCTGGAGGAGGGATCCGTGAGGCCTTAACCTGTGGCACTGGGTGGGCTGCTGGAGAGAAGTGAGGGGCCTGGGCACCAGGGGTCCCGACAACTTGAATGTGTCCTAGAGGAACAGGGGCAGCCCTTGCATCTTTGTGGCCTGAGGTGGAAATCTGAAACAATAAGGAAAGGGAGAAAAGTGACAGAAACAAGAAAGAGAGAAAAAGCAAGGAAACAATAAAATGTTACCATCTTGCAGGCGCCAGGCTGGGCGATGAAACCGCTAATGAGCCCAAGGTTAGCAGAGCCCAGCATCTAATTCAAACCAGACAGATAACAGCCCCGCAACATGTAGGAGCACTGGGAATGTGCCCTTGAGGCGGAGCTGGGGTTGGAGTCCCCCACACTCACCATGCTGCCCATCCAGCGCAGGGCTGGGTCCAGTCAGGATGGCGGGGAGAGACGGGGTAGTGAGAACGTACCTGTCTGGTCCGGCAAGCCATCCTGCTGTCTCCTCGCAGGGAACCATCCAGAGCATCACTGGAGGTCAGCTCACCTGCAGCTCCACCCTTCCCCATTGCAATCAGCATTTCATGTTGGGGGATGGAGATCCTGCTACACTTTCCCCCCTATTTTGCCTACTTTTGAGTATTTGAAAGCGTTTTATTTTAGCTCACTTTTCATCAAGGCACTTGTTCATTTGAGTAATCCACTATAACTGTATCTTGACCGTTATACTGTGACTGACTGCTTTGCAAGTGCTTTGATTTCTCTTTAGGTGTCTGGGAAGCAGGATAATATTGGGGTGCTGGAGGAGGGCAGCCTGGGTTTGAATCCCAGCTCCACCAGTACCAGCTGTGCGATCTTGGGCAAATAATTAACCTCTCTGTGCCTCCGTCTCTCACCTTTAAAACAGAGACAATGATAGTCCCTACCTCCTAAGCTTGCTGTCAGAATTAAATGAGATGATACATGTGCAAACCATTGGCACTGAGTAAGCACTCCGTGCACTTAGGTGTTTTGTCTACTTTGATACATTTTATTTATTTGTTTACTCAAGTATTATTTGAGCATTTCCTGAAGTCAGGTGATGGGTTCGGAACCAGGGAGGCAATAGTGAATGTGACAGATCCCTGCTCTCATGGTGCCTCCTGTTCAATGGGAAAGGCAGACCAGCCAAGAGTGATTGTAACACAGTGTATTGGGGGTGAGGGAGCAGAGAACATAACAAAGGCACCTAGTGAGTCATAAGCAATCAGAGGCAGCTTCCTGGGGGAGGTGACATCACAGTTACAACTTGAAGGACACGTAGGCATTAGGCAATATAGAGAGGCCGAGTATCTCAGCTGGAGAGAGAACAGGGTTTGCAAAGACTGATAAGCATAAAATGCTTGGATTCTCTCAGAGAACTGCAAACAGCACTGGAAAGTCACATGTGACGGGGATGAGGCGGCTGATATGGCTATGGAGGGAGCCAGGTGCCAGGCCACAAGAGGCCCCTTAAGCCTTGGGTGCTGGGCTGAGTTTGAACACTATTCTAAAGTTGATTTAAATCTTGTTTTTGAGCTTCTATTTTCTCATTTATAAACCTAGGATATCATGCAGAGCTGTTAGGATGAAATGACACAGGTCCTGTACTTTGCACCAAGTCTGCCATGAAGCAAAAGTCCTGCTCCTGCTAACTACAGTGAATCTTGTTATTCTGATCAGCAGAATTCTTGGGAGACGAAATGACATAAAGCAGGGAAATTTCTCAGCGCTCAGTAAGAGAGCATGATTGTCAAGAATTTGAGTTCTGGAGCCAGACTGCTTGGGTTCGTATCCTGGATCCACCACCCAAGAGTGGGCAAGTTCCCTCACCTTTCTGAGCCTCAGCTTCCTCATCTGTAAAATGGGGGCAAAACTCCATTGCGTTGTGAGGATGAAGAATACATGTAAAGGGCCTACCTATTCCCGGCAAATGCTAAGGCCTCAGTGAAATTAAAAAGTTGGCAATTATTAGTGGTTACCCATTTCAAGTAGTATCTTTGCAACCTCCACCAGATAGTTACACACAACCTTCGCAACATCTGATTATACACAAGACTATTTGGATAAATGTTAATCGTTTATTAGCTGCCAAGTTTTTTTCCAGATGGTAGACTACATCAAATTCAAATCCCACTGCTTTTTCAAGTTGGATGATGTTCACAAACCACTTCAAGTTACTGTGGAATTAATAGGTAAACAGAGAGACCTCTAAATGCCATGTCCTCGACATTCAGTATCAGTGCTGTTTGCTGTTAGTCACTCAGTCATGTCTGACTCTGTGATCTCATGGACTGTACCCCGCCAGCCTCCTCTGTCCTTGGGATTCTCCAGGCAAGAATACTGGAGTGGGTTGCCACTTCCTTCTTCTGGGGAATTTTCCTAAACCAGGGATCGAACCCACGTCTCTTGCTCGGCAAGTGGATTCTTTACCACTGAGCCACCGGGGAAGCCCCATCAGTATCAATAGTCCGTGTTATTAACAACGAGCACCTGTCCTGCACCACACATGTAACAGAGAGCTTTGGCATCCACCGCACTTCGAAGTGAGGCAGCATACCCACTTTGTATAACAGAGATGGAGACTTGGAGAGGTCAGGGGGCAGCCAGCACTCAAATAAGGGGTGTGTGTGTGTGTGTGTGTGTGTGTGTGTGATGTCACACATTCAAAGTGTGATGGATGCCAAAGCTCTGTTACGTATGTGCTGCAGGACAAGTGCTCGTTGTTAATAACACGGACTATTGATACTGATGGGGCTTCCCCGGTGGCTCAGTGGTAAAGAATCCGCCTGCCGAGCAAGAGACGTGGGTTTAATTTCCAGATTGGGAAGATCCCCTAGAGAAGGAAATGGCAATCCACTCCAGTATTCTTGCCTGGAGAATCCCACGGACAGAGGAGCTTGGTGGGCTACGGTCCACGAGACTGCAGCGTCGGACCCAACTTAGTGTCCTGAGTCAGGTTGTGTTTTCTCACTGGTCCCCTTTCTGAGCTGAGTGTTGATGTCTTAGGTAGGCATTGGCTCTTATCCATCCCCTTACCAGCCTTCCTCTCTCCACTGGGTCTTCTCTGCATAAGGAAGATCCGTTTCTCCGGGTTTCGAAGAACAACAGCCTCTCCTCCGTACTCTCCGTGAAGCCTCCCCTTGGGGATGGATGAAGTATTGCCTCTCCTCACATTCCAGCAGAAGCAGCAGTGACCTGGAGAGCAAAGAGCTGGGTAGGTTCACCTACTATCCAGCTTTGGGGCCCTTGTGCCTCCCACAACCAACTGGAACTGTTCTTCTGAGTGTGTGACGTGGGTTCTAGAGTCCACAGTGTAATGAAAGTGACCAAAAAAAGCAGTGGACCGAGGGTTAATTTCTGACCTGCCATGAAAAGTCACTGCCCGTTCTGAGCACCAGTTTCCCCATCTAGAAAATGGGGAACGTGAATGGGTCACCCTGCCTTCCTCATAGGATACGGTGATACTATGCAGCTTATGCAGCTTATTATAAACCTCCAGGAACAATGTGCAGAAGGTCACCCAGCTGACTGAACACAGATAATAAGTATCTACTCTGTGGGGAGAACATCGTAAGAATTTCTTAAGCGCTGAGAGCAAAAATGCTTCACATTTCCCAAGCCACCATTGATCTGATGCTTCAGTTCCGTCACATTCTTTTGATTGTAAGTGACAGGCAAAGAGGACTGAAAGGAAGAGAGACAGACAGAGACCAACAAATCGTAACAAAAAGGAAAAATGCCTCGGGCAACATGATGAGACCGGAGGGAGATGGAGGAACACAGAGGCACCTATGACAATTAGAGGCACTGAAAAACTAGTGCAGAAAGAACGAAGGATGCCAGGACAGAGAGTGAGAGGTGGGCGGGACCAGAGGTGAGGACTGGAGAGGCTAAGGCTGGGAAAGGTGCTGGGGGGCAGTGGGGGGCGGTGGGCAGTGTTTGGGGGTGTGGTGGGCGGCAGTAGAACCCGACACTGCCCAGGGCTGGACCACGAGGTCCCTGAGAGACATGGTCCTGAGTGATGGATGGGCGAGAATCAGCAAGTGAGTGGCCACAGGACCAGGGTGGTGTGACTCCTCAACTGCCTGGCTCTGAGTTGAGGTTGATGAGACGATATGTGCTCCCCAGACCCCAACAGAGAAAAGGCCATCTTGTTTGGTTGCTGATGCCAGAGCCTCCTCTCGACCCCCAAAGTCCCATCCAGATAACCAGTGTCTGCTGGCCACTCAGATATTAACCTTTGTACGTTAGATCAAGGATGGCTAGAAGGTCACAGGAGTGTGGAAAGGTGAGGCCTGCTTGTCCAACCCTACCACTCTCCCTGTCCATTGTGAAGTCTATTCAAGGCTCAGAGGGAAGGAGACCTGTTTAAATCACAGAGGGAGAAAGAAGCTGCCCAGAAGCATTGCCTGAGCCTCCTGGCTCTGGAGAAGAAGCACAGAGGATGGGTGGGGTGGAGAATGAGGGGAGGTCTCAAAGCTGGGAGGCTGGGACAAGAGGGAGGCTCGGAAGAGGAACCAGAAGGAGGCGGGCAAGGGGGGATGGAGGATGGGGGAAGCGGGGCAGGGGTGTGGGAGGCAAGGAGGAAATGGGGGAGGGGTGCCTGTCCCCTGTGCCCGAGCCGGTGTGCACGTTCACAGAGGGGCCCCCAGCACCCAGGAGGCCCAGCACTTGTAGGTATTTAATAAACATTTGCTTCAGACCCTGAGGCAGAGGAAAGCCTTCTGGTGACACTCCTGCCCTTGGCCAGAGTCTACATGGCCACCCTCAGGGCTGGGGGCGAGCTGGAGCTGAGGTTAGTACCAGGGCGTGGCGGAGCTGGAGCGGAGTGGAGGCCTGACTTAGGAGAAAAGTGACTTCGGGTTGATCCGTGGGCAGGGCTGGAGTCAAGGCAGGTGTGTGTGGAGGTGCTCAGCACAGGGGTTGGTGCTGAAAGGAATTTCAAGGTGGGTGCTGAGGTCCAGCCTGAATTGAGCTGGTGTGGGAATGACTTGGAGATTTGGGCTAAGGCTGGATCTGGGGCTATTGGAGGGATAGGACCTGGGGCCTCTTCCTTCCCTTGCCCTGGTCCCATGCCTCTCTCCACCGAGGCCTGCCCAGTGGGTTCTCCCCAGAGTCTTGCCTGAGGCTCCCTGGAGCCCAGGTTCCATTTTGATCAGGATTGGAGCCTGAGACACAGAGATACCCCAGGGAGGGGGTGGGGGGAGGTCCAGCTCCCATTGAGATGGAGCGTCCTCACAGCTCTGCTGGACCAGCCCAAAAGGAACAAGGACCTGCCACTGACTGCCTGTTCACAAATGAAATACACCGAGTGATCCGTGTTGCGGCTTCTTCACACCCTGATTTTTAGGGAATCTACACTGTAGGGAAGGATTCTTTCCAGAAGTTGCTCCAGTCCCTGAGCTCATGGGTTAATGGGAGCCTGGTTTCTGCCTCACAAGGCTTGGCAGGGAGGTGCTGATGGAGTGGAGAGCAGAGATCAGAACTCTGTAACTGGGAAAAGCCAAGATCCACCCTCTGAGTCTCTGTTTCCACCTCTGTAAAACAGCACAGGATCTTCTATCAGGCAAACCTCCATTTTATTTATTATTATTATTATTTTTTAATTTATTTATTTTAATTGGAAGCTAACTACTTTACAATATTGTAGAGGTTTTTGCCATACACTGACATGAATCAGCCATGGGTGTACATGTGTTCCCCATCCTGAAACCCCTCCCACTTCCCTCCCCATCCCACTCCTCTGGGTGGTCCCACACCTACCCTGAGTGCCCTGTCGCATGCATCGAACCTGACTGGTGATCTATTTCACAAATGGTGATATACATGTTTCAATGCTATTCTCTCAAATCATCCCACCTTTGCCTTCTCCCAGAGTCCAAAAGTCTGTTCTTTACATCTGTGTCTCTTTTGCTGTCTCGCATATAGGGTCATCGTTAACATCTTTCTAAATTCCATATATATGCCTATATGCTGTTTTGGTGTTTTTCTTTCTGGCTTACTTCACTCTGTATAATAGGCTCCGGTTTCATCCACCTCATTAGAACTGATTCAAATGCATTCTTTTTAATAACTGAGTAATATTCCATTGGGTATATGTACCACAGCTTTCTTACCAATTCGTCTGCTGATGGGCATCTAGGTTGCATCCACGTCTTGGCTATTGCAAACAGTGCTGCAATGACCATTGGGGTACACGTGCCTCTTTCAATTCTGCAAACCTCTGTTTTCCTCTTAGCTCTAGGACCTGTAAGTAAGTGATCTCCCTGACCTCAGGTTCATATCTCTAAAATAGGAAGAATCTCTGCTGCATAGTGCTGTTGAGATGGTCTGGCCAGCTCAGGGTCTGGCTTAGGGAAAATGCTTGCTGTCCCCTCCCTCTTGTAGCGGCTCGGCAACTGGACTCTGGACTCAGAGAGATTAGGTTTGAATCTCAGCTTTGCCGCTCATTATCTGGGGGAATGTGAGCAGGTCACTTTGCCTTTCTGGGCCTCCATTTCCTCATCTGTAAAATGGACAAAATCAGAGGATCTATCTCATAGGAACACACTGGTCAGAGGAAACGGTTGCAAACAACAGAAACTGACTCTTTCTCTCATGAGTGCAAAGGGATTTATCGGAAGGACCGTGGGAGCCCACAGAATCCACAGGAAGTGGAAAGACTAGGTCTAGAGAGTGGCCAGAATGCAAGGAACGATGGAGGACAGGGCAGAGGCCAGAGCAGCCCAGCTGCAGTGATGTCCCTGCCAGTCCCTGGACCCTCCCATCACCCGTTCAGTCAATGCTCATGGCCCAACCTAAGTGACGTGACAACGCCCCGTCCATTTCTTTGGTTTCCTTAGTGGAGGAATGTGACCTCCTACCACTGTAGGTTCACTAGGGATTCCCCAGGGATCATCAGGTACTCGTGAGAAGGGAGGGTGGAGCTAACAGCAAAGGTTCGAGATCGGGGTCTCCGAGGACAAAGTAAGACACTACTCACGGCTCCCCAGTGCCTGGCACCAAGGAAGACTCCTGGCATGGCAACCACTAGCTGTGTGGTCCCCGACTGCAGAGACCCCTGGACAGCGTTACAGAGGCAGACACCGCCGGGCAGGCAGTGGTGCTCACTAGGAAACTGTCTACTCGTCAGGCAGCCTGGTGTGAAGAAACGCGCTCTTGAGGGACTTCCCTGGTGGTTCAGTGGGTTAAACATCCACTCGCCAGTGCAGGGGACACGGGTTCGATCCCCGGTCCAAGAAGATCTCACATGAGCAAGGCAACTCACAACTACTGAAGCCCGCACACCCTAGGGCCTCTGCTCCACAGCAAGAGAAGCCACCCCAAAGAGAAGCCTGTGTGCAATTGGAGAGGAGCCCGCCTGCTGCAACTAGAGAAGGCCCGCCCGCAGCCATGAAGACCCGGCAGAGCCAGAAGGAGAAGGGAGGAGGAAACGGCCCTCGGCCAGGAGTCCAGCTCCGCCCCCCATCGCTCCCCTGGCACCAATCAGCAACGCAGTCCTGACAGCCCCTCACCAGCCCTGAGCTCCCAGGTTCTCTGCTGAGAAAAACGGCATCGGCGCGGCCGGCCCCAGTGGCTGCGTGACCGGAAGTTGGGAGGAGCCTAGGAGATAACACAGGGGAGTATTGTTTTGAAATGTTTCATGTTTTCTAATAAATCTAAAATCTTTTAAAAATGATTCACATCCCATAAAGTTTACCCTCTTAAAGTATACAATCCGATCGTTTTTATTATAGTCCCAGGGTTGTGCAACCATCACCACTAACTCCAGAACATTTCATCACCCCCTCCCCCTGAAAGAAACCCTGTACCCGTTAGCCGTCAGTCTTCATTCCTCTGGCTCAGCCCCTGAAAACCACGAATCTGTTTGTTGTCTCTGTGGATTTGCCTGTTCCGGACATTTCACATAAATGGGAATCATGCGATATGTGGTCTTTTATATCTGTTTTCAAGGTTCATCTGTGTTGCAGGATGCGTAGATAACTCATTCCTTTTTCATGGCTGGACAGTATTCCCTTGAATGGATGTATCGCACTCTGCCCATTCACTCAGGACCGTTTTTAGCACGCACAGGCCCGGGGCTGGGGCTTCCAGTGTTCTCAGAGTGACAGAGGCCAGCGCAAACCAGGAGAGCGTCCTTGTCTGGATGGAAAGGTGCGGGCGGCCTGAGCAGATCAGTCTCTGGCCCTATACACTCTTCAAGTACCTGAAGTCATTCCAGAAATCCCCTGGATTCTGAGCATAAAGAATTATTGCTACCCAGGCTCTAAGCTTTCTACCACCTCTGCCTCAAACCCCAGGCCATTGTGCATACTACAGTGGGGACTTCCTGGGGATGAGGGGGTAGCAGTCCTGCACCAGGCATGTGGTCAGTGCTCAACATGTACTTGGATGGATAAATGGATGGATCGAGGCATATGGATGACTGCATGGAAAGTTGCAGATAGAGGTGAATAGGCAGAAAGATGGGTGGATAGAAAGATGGATGGACTGAAGGTTGGATTGCTAAATGGATTGGTGGGTAGTGCTAGCTCTACATTCTTGCCAAGACCTACCTTATGCGGAGAGAGAGAAACTTTTTACAAAGAGAGAAATCCTAGCCCAAGATGTTCTTGACCTGAAGGACCTATCTATCATTCATGGACTAACTCCTGTTCAGGAAGGACTGAATCTCAAATCTTTGGAAGTTTAAATCAAAATGATCTTAGTTGTGCTTGGCACATAGTAGGTACTTAATATTAATACATGGTAAGCAAATGGATGAATGAGCCAATGACTTAAACAATTGAGCACCTCTCTTCTCCCCCTATTGTATGCATCCAGAGAGTGACACTCACTTATAAACTAGTAAAGTGACACCTAAGGTCATCCAGCAGACCCGGGGCAGAGAGTGGTGTGGAATCCAGGCCAACTAGAAGCCCAGCATTCTTTCCCCGGTACCTGGCATTTCCTAGTTCCTGATCTCAGTGGGGACATCTCATACAAATCAGACAAGACGTTCCATGCCTTGGAGTTTGTGTTCTTGTACTTGTGACAAGGAGGTCACTGAAGTGACCACATGTCTATTTGATGTTTGTTTGAGAGCAGTTGTGTGCGCAGACTCAAGAATGAAAAGGCAAATACATCTTGTCAGCAGCTCCCATCTTCCCGTTGTCCAGCTGCAGCACATCAGGTGTATGGGGCACTCGAGATAAGCTGGCTTTGACACATCACAGATGCCTTCCCACCTCCCAGGGAGGTTGTGATGGCCCCTTGTGACAGGGACAATGACATTCAACATCTGGGTAGCAGCTTATGTGAGCTAATGACTCCGCCTGGCACACAGTAAGTACTTAATGAATGGTGGCTGCTTTCATTAAATCATAACACTCCCTGGGGCCCAGGCTCCCTTATCAGGCATCATAGTTTTCAGCAGCATTGGACTGGGAATCAGGAGGTCTGGTTCTAACCTCAGCCCTGCTACGCACCCTCAGTGTGACCATGGCTGTCTAACCTCCCTGGGCCTCAGTTTTCCCATCTGCAGCATGGAGATAATCATACCCTCCTCTCAGGGCCGCTAGGGAAACAACAAGAGAGACAGGCTATGAGGGTGCTTTGCATGTGGTGTACTAAGCAAGGGATGGCAAAACCCCAAGGGTCAAATCTGGCCCACCACTTGCTTTGGTAAATAAAGTTTTATAGGAACACAGTCACACGTCACATGTGTATTGTCTGCGGCTTCTTTTATGCAGAGTTGGGCAGTTACAACAGAGACTGGAAGGCCTGCAGACTCTAAAACACTTATCATCTATCCATTTACCAAAAAGGGGGCCAGCTCCTGCCACTGAGCGGGGCTCCCAGGTCTTAGCTGCACAGATTCCTCCCCCTTTCTTGGGAGCTTCTTAGAAGCACACGCTCAGGCCCACCTCAAGGCTGCCATTCAGTAGCTCTGGGGCGAGGCCTGCGTAACTCCTTTTTGACAAGTGTTCCTAGTGATTCTGATAAAGGGAGGTTCCCAGTCCAGATTTTGAAACAGACTGGGGTAGACAGAGCTGAGATCAAAACCCTACTTCTCTGCATCCTATCTGTATGGCTGGGCACAAATTATTTAACTTCTTTGAGTTGGCATCCTCATCTGCAAAAGGGGGATGACAATGCCTGTCCCTTAGGGCTCCTGGGAAAGTTAAACATAAATCTCTATGAAGTGCTCAGTTGCGTCTGGGTCCTCAGTAGCCGGCAGTTTTCTTTTTCTTTGATGGGGGCAATTTCTAAAGTGTTTATTGAATTTGTTACAACCTTGCTTCTGTTTTACGTTTTGTTTTTTTGGCCCTGAGGCATGTGGGATCCTAGCTCCCTGAACAGGGATCGAACCTGTAGCCCCTGCATTGGAAGCGGAAGTCTTAACCACTGGACTGCCGGGGAGGTCCCGACTGCTTTCTTTCCTTCCTGCATGCCTATACATTCTCTTTTAACCCCTGGGCAAGCTTCTTCTCGGTTTTCCCAGAACCTGCCCCCAGCCCTGCTGCAGCTTCACTGACGGATCTCACGTCCCCAGCGTTTTGTAAGAGGCAGCATCAAGGGGCCGGTCTGCTAGAGCCTGGAGCTCTCGGCCTGTTTCTGACACTGAAACTGTTGCCAGTTCCATGTTTACACATTTACTCTCATAATATTTGCTTTCCGTGGCCATTATTTGCCTGACGTCAGATGAAAATGATCAACTCCCCACGAGGGCTTTCAGAAAGCAAGGTCAGCACCTCCCTATCCCCCCTTCACTGTCCCATCCCTTCTCTCCGTTTCCTAAACTAACCACCCTCCAGGCAACGAGTAACTTAGCAAAATGTGTTGACATGAGACCAAGAGAACAGGTACATTCTGATCCCAGCCTATCACTGACTTTGGCAATCTTGGGCAAGTCTGGTTCTTTCCCTGAGCTTAGGTGCGTCATCTCTGCCCTGAGAGGTCTGGCTTATCTGGTCTCTCAGGAGCCTCCCCGCACCACGGTTCTGTGACTCGGGGACCCTAAGGTCCTCCCAGGTGGGAAGATTCCAGAGTTCACCTGGCTTTTCCCTCCCAAGCTGATGGAAGGGTAGGAAGAAAGAGAACAGTGATTGTGAAAACAGAGCCATGCTTCTCTTTATCTGCAACCATGCAAACGGCACAATCTTTCTCTTATCAAGATAGAAAAGAAAAACAGAAACACTGCAAGCTCTCTTATTAGATCATCTCCTGGAGGCATGTTCTTCCATTCCAGCAAACACTCTGCACCCCCAAATATCTTGGGGAGCCTGGGGAGGGGCCATAATTTGAGCTTTTCCCACCCATCTGCCACTTATCATGCTTGCTTAAGTCGTGGGTGAAGCCAACTACTCCCCAAGGCCAGCTCTGTTTCCCAGGGAGCAGGAAGGGTTATGCACAGGTTCAAGAGGAGAGAAAAATTGCAAAAGTGAAGTCAGGGAGTCCCTGATCCCAGTGACACGTCCTTCTGTATCAAGTATGCAGTGAGAGCGCAGTGAGGAGGGGAGCCCACACCTCCAAAGGACTAAGCAAATCATTACCTGAAACCTCAGCCTGAAACACTGCAGAAGGACACATGGACCCCGCCCTGCTGGGCACGAGGCAGGCGGGATCGGGCAGGGGTGGAAGGAGATCCGTGGAGCAGGACAGACCCCGTGCAAGCTGCATCATCCTACCAGCGTGGGCTCCGCCAACTGTGAAATGGAAATTGGTTAGGATTCATTCCTCGTGGGGCCGTTGGAATTTCAGGAAGGTAGTCTAGGGGAAGGGCCCAAGCCAGTTCTAAGTTCACGTAGGGCTTTAATCAAACGTTCTTCTCCTGCCTTGAGAAGTGTTGTTGAATGATGCTTTGAGGGTAATGCCTGTGTGTTAGTCACTCAGTCATGTCCGACTCTCCGTGACCCCGTGGACTGCAGCCCGCCAGGTTCCTCTGCCCATGGGATTCTCCAGGCAAGAAGACTGGAGTGCGTTGCCATTTCCTTCTCCAATGTGAGTTTTAGTAGTAGTATCTTAGTTGCTTAGTTGTGTCCGACTCTTGCGACCCCACAGAGTGCAGCCTGCCATGTTCCTCTGCCCATGGGATTCTCCAGGCAAGAAGACTGGAGTGCGTTGCCATTCCCTTCTCCAGTGTGAATTTTAGCAGTAGTAGTTTAGTTGCTAAGTTGTGTCCGACTCTCCGTGACCCCGTGGACTGCAGCCCACCAGGCTCCTCTGCCCATGGGATTCTCCAGGCAAGAAGACTGGAGTGCGTTGCCGTTTCCTTCTCCATCGAGGGTAGTGACGATACCTTATCCAGGCATACAGAGTGTCCGGGTTCTGAGTAGCACCCACACAAGCGCTCTCGTTACAGCCTCGCTTACCACCGGCCCACAAGGCAGACACCACTGTTCCCATTTCACAGCTGCTGAAGCCGAGGCTCAGAGGCGAAGCCAAGTGTCGAGAGCTCACCGTGATTCAGCAGCAGGCTGAGGGCCGCAGCCGGCCTCCGGTCAGGGCTCTGGCACATCCTCTCAGAGGGCATGGCCTGTGTGGCCTGAGCGGGTCTAGCTGTGCTCACGGGCCCACCCGCAGGCCCTAGCCCCAGGCCT